AGCATATCAACAGAAAGAACAAAGTGGATTGTGTCCTCATTTACCACTGATGAATTTGCTTTTCCTCATGCAATATCATTGAACATGACGAATTAGTTGCTTGTCTAAGAAAACTTATAAATGTGTAAACTGCTATCCTGTTTAGAAATACATTTATTTAGCATCAAAAGCAGATTGAAGGTTGAAAGTCTCCTAACATCCCTAGAAAGTAGGACCAATAGTGAAGAATGCTGGGAGCCATATAGTTCACCAATATCTGAAAAGCCACATATTGTCTACTTCTAATCTGTAAATTTATAATTTAAAAGTTGCAATGTCATGAAACAAATAGCAAATCATATGGAGAAGGCATGAGCAAAGAATAAATTAGCTTTTTCAAAAGAATTAGACCAGAGGTGTCAAACTGCCAGCCCGCAGGCCGGATGTGTCATGCCGAAACTGCGCCCACCCCATTGCCGGCAATGGAAAAAAAAGTTGTGATATGTTGTGACATGTCACGTGACATTGCGAGTTTGACACTCCTGAGTTAGACTAATATGTTTTCAATTGCCTTTTTACTCTAGGAGCATAAATGTTGCCATTCATCTCAACTTCATGTAGTTATGATAATGCTCAAGACACTCAAAATTCAGGTCCATTATTTATAATAGGTTCTGTGATGAAGAAATTATTTATTACTCACTTCTTTGCTTGGATTACATGCAAAGTGTTAAACTCCCTACAAAATAAGTTGTATCAGGTTTAGGATAAAGCAGGAGGACTGATGCTAGTGCTAAGCATTATTACATATGTGTAATAATTTCTGTGCCATTTATTCCGATTATTTTCAGAATTAATGTTCAAGTTTGAACTCTGTGAAAAACAGCCCTAATTTAAATATAGATCATTCTTCCTTCTTAGCAGAATCAGTAGTTAGTTTTCTAATAGACTACAATCATATTAATTAATCTATGCCAAAAGCTGTATTCTATGCTTTTTTGTTCTGACTACTAAAGCAACTAGAAAAGGGGGGGGAAGACAGTTTTTCACAGTAAAAATATTTGCTGCTTATTGAATTTCTATCTAGGCCATCAGGAGTTCTTAGTATATTTATGGTGGAAATAGAAATGTCAAATAAACTTCTAGCCTATCTTTTCTTTAACGGCTCATTTGCTTATTGCTTTGGATTCAGATTGCTTATCAGGTACATCTAAAATACAATCTCATCTATAAACAATATGGTGATAGATCATAGGATGATTGATAGATATTACTAAAAATTGGTTGGGTGAAAACAAGAATGTAGATCATTGGAAATTTTTCAGTCAGGATTTCAGACCCTCCAGCAGATATAAGCCAAGGTCAAGAATGGAAGTAACAACAATCGCTGCAGTGATCAGATCTGTCAACTCAACTCAGGGACAGTAGTAGTGTTCAGTGGTGTAACATCTGGCAATAGTTATCAAGGAAACAGATTGGCTTATTCTGTAGGATAAACTCTATAAAACCCTATATACCTTAGGAATGAACTCCAAATGGAATCTTCTCTGTCTGTGAAAATATGTAAAGGAGGGAATGCTTGCAGTCCTGTCTCTGCTAATCAAGGGACCAGAGACACAACAGTAAACTGTCTCCATAACAACTTCTTATCTCTGAAAATTATAAAACAGACATTTTGAACATGATTATTCCTATTATTTATATGAAATGATATGTGACATGGATGTCATTTTTAATACGGGTTGGTTATTGGTGTTAAAATATGTCCTCCCCTGGGAAATATTTATTACTTAATCCCAGCCTTTCTCTTTTTTCTTTTTAAAATAGTGTTATTTTAATATATATTTAAAAGTATAATCAAGAAGAAAGAGTGAAAAAAGAAATAGAACTTCACAAAACATATAGCTTGTAAAATTTTCAAAATAATATTATTTGATAATTTATTTAATAATAATTACTACTACTTATAAAGCAGTATTAACTGTTTTTGAAATTAAAAAAGATCAAAAAGTATCAGAAGCAGCCAATATAATAATAGAATCTATAAACTGCTCAGTCTTGGAAGCTGGTAAGTATGTAAACATATCTAAGAAAAACTTATGACCACAATTGAGCTGAAAATTTCCATTGCTAAGCAATGGATGCTACAATGGTCATAAGTGTGAAAAACGCTCATAAGTCACTTTTTTCAGTGCCGTTGTAACTTCAAATTATCACTAAACAAATGACTATAAGTCAAGAAGGACCTATAAATACATTAAGATATTTCATTCCTAACAAGAATTTATATCATACACAAAATAATTTTCAGGCTATAACTCTAAGCCCAAACCCTGAAATTTCCTAAAACAAGAATTCAGCAAGTAATAAACAGATTTTCTCGTTCATATTAACATCAAGAACTAATAGGTTCATTCAGTGGGCAGAGATATCGGAAAGTAATAGGCATATACAACTGTGGAATTCTTTAAATATGCCAAAACTCTGTAAGTACTGTCTAAATGTGTAAAGATAGCTGTATTTTATATGGTGTTCCATTATATTGTAGCTGTTTTAACCATTTGCCAATGGTACATCTTTTTCAGAGATGGACCTGAACAGCTAGAAAGAAATGGCCAAATTAAAACTCATGATTAACTGAAGATTCTGATGAAAAATTAGCTATGTACAATTATCAAATAAGAACTACCAAATAAAAGCACATCATTAAAGAGCACAATTTCATAACTGTATTTTCTTTCTGGGGGCGGGGGAACATGTGCTAAAGCTTTCAAGTTACTAGACTTCTCTTTCTTGAAAGTAAAGGTCACATAAGCAGGGGAAAAGAAGGAGGGAAAGCTTTCTACATTATTTCTTTCTTTTAATGCACTGATTTATCGGAGTTCAGCAATGGGGGTTAGGAAGAAAGATGTCAAAACCTTGAAATCCAGCAGTGTTGGAATTACACAGTTATCTCTAATGGGCAAAAAAGTAAAGTTAAAAGCAGACAACTTATTTGGAGAGATGAAAAAAAAATGAAACAACTCCACTGGAATACTGTTTCTAAATATTATTATCACATCAAATTTTTACCTACTGGTATTGAAATAATAATAACTGTCCATAAAAAGAATCAGGAGGAAGAAGAAAATGTGGTACTTTTATCATTCTTAATAACACTAGCATTGTATACAAGAGTGAAATTATGTAGTCTTGATTAAGCACCTAAAGATATTCCTATTGCTTCTCCGTGTAGTTGGCTAGAAAGGAAACCATGCAATTTGCTACGTTACCTCTGCATTCTGTAACCATTCTATTAAGAAGGACATATCCTCAAACTTATAATTTTCATCTATGGTAGATGAAACTAGAACCAAATCTTTTCCAAGAGTGACAAATGGAGGGCTTCCTCACAGCAATCTGACAACTTCAATTTCAGAAAGGAATGGTTTTAAGAAAAAATGGGCCAATGAAAATAGCAGTTGTAGGAAGACTTTATACAATGCTAACAAGATATAAAGACTCCATCCAGCTGCTCAAACTAGATGAATGAGAAATATCAGATTTAGGACTCCTGGCCAAAATTCAGAGATGCTAGCATGCTATGTAATTTTTTTTCCTGATCTGAGCCTTCCTCTCCAATATCTAAGCTCTAATTCAATTACTATATAAAGACATAATAATAACCAACAAAGAATCCCTAAAACAGGCAAGACACCAAAATATAAACTGACAGCAAATAGCACTTTTTACTAGCACTGATGATATTATCTAATTAGGGTAATAAAACATCTGCAAGAAAAGAAGGAAGCTCATATATATATATATGTTTTCTGAGGTTTTCGCGGGTATTTGTATGTAGGTCTTTGGTTGTTCGGGTTTTCTCCCGCGTAAAATTGGAAGTGTCTTGGCGACGTTTCGACGAAGTCCCATTCGTCATCTTCAGGCTTGCTGCTCAAAGCACGAAGCTGAAAACACCAGCCTGAAGATGACGAATGGGACTTCGTCGAAACGTCGCCAAGACACTTCCAATTTTACGCGGGAGAAAACCCGAACAACTAAAGACTTACATATATATATATATATTAATAAAAATGTTGCATTTCATTTTTTGCTCTAAGTTTATAACATTGAAATGGGAAATAGTAAATCTCATTAAAGAAACTAAATTAGAAGTCCTATAAAGTGTTCTTCATCTTATATTTTAATTAGAAATATTGTTGTGAAATATTTGCAAAATTGACCTAGATGAACTCTCTTGATGTCAAAATACCATCTTATTTACCATTAAATCATCTCAAACATTATGGTACATTATCTGTGGAAAGTGATTGTTTTGGTTATTTTTCTCTTGCTTTGATACTATTAAGTAATTATATGAAATTTTTGGTTGGGAACTGGGATTTATACTTTAATTAACAGAAGAAAATGACAATTTTTAAAATCATTTTTCACTTCAGTGCAAATATTGTTTGCCTCATATGGATAAACAGAAGTATTTACAGTACCTACTAACATATTTTCAGAAATACCTAATCTACTACAGCCAATCAATAAATCTTATGGTAACTCCCTCCCCATTATTCTTGATAAAATATTGTTAGTGATGAAACTATTTGTTACTCAAATTTTAACAAGAGTGGAAAAAGAATTAGATTCTAATTCTTGTAGACAATGGGAAGAGAAACTTTAGTGTATTTTAAATAATGCTTTGACAAAAGTTAATATTTCAGGCTTATTAGACTCAATTGTCCTTATACAGAAAATATCTGAATAACTAATTGTGTTACTGCTGATGCAATGAGATCATTTAAAGATATTTGTATACTGCTACCAAATTGTTCCATTTTGGAAGTAAGTAAGTCATTGATCAGAACGATAACAAATATCATATAGTATTATAAAACATTAGAACCAATACAGGAAGCATATAACATAACATTATAAAGTTAGCTTAAACTCCATTAAAATAGAACCAATCTGAAAGATTTAAGACAGTTAAATAAGCTATGATACCTAGAATAATTATACTTTTAATTTACCTCTTATAACATAATTATCCAAGGCTTCTTCCATTCTTTGCAAAGCTTCATTTCTGTTGGATCCATAGGTGATTAGCTAGAAGACACATTAAAAAAAATGAACTCTATCACAACCAACATCTTTTTGTTTCAAATATGCTGCCTATTTCATAATTCCTTTTTAATATTATGAAGTTTCAATACATACGTTTATTCCTCAACCTTTATGATTTCTGTTAAGTCAGAATTTTGTCTAGTATCTTTGCCAAATGAAGGCATGACAACATACAATCCTCACTGCATACTGTATCTATAAATTTATTCCAAATTAGGAACCTGATATTTAAAACGTACGTTATATACATATTTCTATTTTTTTCCCTAAGTACTTGCAGGATACAGTTCAAACATACTATTACAGTACTATACTGCATTCTACATCTGGTAATTTTATGAGACCATTTATTAACTTCTGACAAACAGGCATGTATAGAATTGATAGTTACATGATTTCTGACCACTCATGTGATAAAACAGTAAAGAACAATCCCAACTTTTTTTGAGGGTGCAGTATGTAGTAGGACAGCAAAAGACACAATGGATTGGAAGTGATGCTGATGTTGTTAGGTTGAGACTGGAGGAGATGATATTTTTTATTTGTGTTTGTGCTTAAAATAAAATTAAGGTGCACCCAATAATCCCATCCTACCAATAAACACTGGGAATATCACATAGGAAATTGAAAGAATTTTGTTTAAAAAAGATACCCTTCGCTGAGCCACATGCTAATGCCAGAAGACCAAGCAAGCTGGCAGAGTGGGGAGTTAGAGAACTGAGCCACAGAATAGAACACAGATTCTGTGGGTGTAAGAGAAATCTGGTAAAGCAGAGAGATTCAGTGAAACAGAGACAATTCTGGATACAACTCAACAGAAAGTAAGGGAAGGGAATTTGTGGAATTTCTTCTCTTTTATATCAAAGATGATATAAAATCTAACATATTAGAAAACAGTAGAAAATCTAATTCTTTGATAAAATCAATATCTGGTCACAATTTTAAATCAGTGATCATGCCTGATCAAAATGTTGAGAGTGATTCTGAAAGAGTGAAAGTATTTTCAGAGGCTTGTAAAAGAATAAATCTTTATCTGGGACTTTATTTATACTCTGACTGGATATATTAACATTTGGGGCAAATTTCTACATACGAATTTATCTGTGGGGCCCTTAGTGCTTTCTGAGCTTCTTGGTTTCCCTGTAGACATTTTATTACCAAACCAGGTAACCTCATCAGTGGTGGAAGGGAGTGAGGTTTGCTCTTATTTTTATATACTATTTTTATATACTATAAAATGTCTGCAAGAAAACCATGAAGCTCACAGAGCACTACGAACCCCAAAGTTCAACTCTGAGCTACAAATATTCTTTTTTATCGGTAGTCATTTATCTACAGCAGTGTCTAAAATATCAATCTAGAATGGATTATCAAATGCTTGTCTATTTTTTATAAATCCAAATCGAGATGGGCAATTATCAATGGTATTATTTTCTGTGGCTTCCTGGATAGTACTGCAATTAAACATCCACCGTGAGCCAAGATTCTAATCTGTAGTTTGCATACCCAGGAAGGCCTTCCCCATACTGTAATATAGGTCACATAAAATGATAGGAGAAATACAGAAAGATTAAATTATTTATTATATACCTCTAACAATATAGCTGTTAATATATCTATAAAATTTATGTTCCATTCATCTGGAAATCTATCAGAATTTTGCCCACTTTCGTGCATTATATTGTCTCCACTAATTTTTTGTCAAGCCAAAAGTTTTGCTAGTTCTATTTTCTCTTCCCCAGAGATTACTTCCTTTTCACATTGATAATTTGCTGCTCAATTGCAGATATCTTCAATACATGTACTTTGAGTAAAAAAATAATAAAATTAGTAAATATCAAATTCTATGCCTTAGGATAATTGATCTTGGAAACAGGCAAAGAAGATGCAATTCTAAATTAAAACTTAACTGGTGTTTGTGCATTATTGTAAGATATTGTAAATAAGGAATCCTGATTGCAATGATGTTATAGCTAGTTTTTGTACATCATGGAAGTTGTTAACTAGGTGCAAATATAGTCACACTTGAATATAAGTTGTGAAACTTCTCAAAGTAGAGATGATTAAAATAAAAGAAACCAAAAACAAAAGAGAGAGATGCTTTGAATTATAATGGCTAGAAGACAACTGAAAAATAAGGTAATGAGGTTCAGCTGAATGTATTTTACAACAGGGTTCCCCAACCCCAGGACTGCAGCCCACTTCCGGGCCATGGCCTTTTTGGAACCAGGCCTCACGAGCAGTGGACTAGCATGCATGTAATGCGCACACAGCTCAACTTGCCTGAGCAGCAGTGTGCATGGAGCTCAACTTGCGCAATCAAGCTGTGTATGTGCATATGAATGCTGACCTGCCACTTGCACAAGTCAAACTGCACACATGAGCATGTACCAAGCCACCACTCGTGCTGTCTGGTTTCCCTCTTCCCCCCAGCCAGGCCATCAAGCAACAAAGGCCGCTATTCTACAATACAAAAAAGTATCAACCATATTAACAAAAAGACCAACATAAGTCTCTGGAAAATATTCTATTACAGTTTTGTGTTACAAAATAAACTTCTGTAAAGTTTTCTTCTAAAAAATAGGAAGTATATTATAACAACAAAAAAGAGTAAAATTAACTCTGGCAGTAAAAAGAATTTAACCTGGGTTTTATCCCAGCTGCCACTGAAGGTTTTATATATGGGGGGAGGAGGGGTAGTTATTTTGTGCTGGGTTAGCCATCCAGAGTTCCTTTGGTGAGATGGGCAACCATACCAATTGAGTTAATAACAAATAAACCTGTGGAATTCATTACAAATGTCTGGTGATAGCGAATAATTTGGATGGTTTTAAAAAGAATCAAGATATATTCATGAACATCAGATATATCAAGGATTTTCACTATTGAAGGTGCAATATTACTCCTGGCCTAAGGTAATATGCTTCCAAATACTAACTGTAGAGGGGAAATAGTGAGAAGTATATCTCTATCTCTTGTCTGAGACCATTCTACAATAATCTAATTTGGCTACTGTGGGAAACAACTTGTTGGACTACAATGGGCCTTGGCTTGATATAACAGAGTTCTTTTTCTTTGTAGCACAGTAGTCCTCTCATCCAACCTAATTATAAAAAAAAAATCACAATCTTTTCCTTCTTTTCTGTTTCAAATTAGCTACAGCTTGTTGTGATAACCAAACCTTGTCCAGTTAATTAATTTTGAAACTTCCAATTCCACACATAGTTAAGGAACAGAATATGCCAATGTTAATGAGAAATTGAGGTTTATATCCAGCAAAACATTAAACTACAGTCATTAACAAAAACAAGACAGATTTTAATACTTTTAAGATATATTAGAAGCCATGAGGTTTGTGAGAGTCCACAAGTATTAGTAGTTCATTCTACTATGGTTTAAGTATCTTCAAGTTAAACATCTAAGCCAGGATGCCACAACTCCAGATTATTAATCAGAATAAGAATTAGTTTTTTGCACCTTTCAGTTAAGAATGGAAAGCTCTGACTAGTGCTCTTACAAAGTAGCAAGGTTCAATTACTACTACAAAACAAACCAGGTTATGAAAACAATCATGATTCAAGATTGTGACTTTTCAGAACCTTGTAATCATAATGTACCAATGTAGATAAATAGCAATTAAAAGTTTATTAAAAATGTTCGGGTTTAATTGTGTCTTGATCAAAGACATAAAGCAGTGATGGCAAACCTTTTAGAGACCGAGTGCCCCAAAACTGTCCCCGCCCCCGCTCCACCCCCATCCCGCCTGCCCGCAGGGCCACTCACCACCTCCAGGGCCCGCTGCAGATCGCCCAGCACAGCAGTGCCATGGTGGTCACACCCTCTGCCCGCACTGCACAGCATCAACTGTGCATGATGGGGCGTGAGGGCAGAGTCTTGTCTATGCTGCCTGGCTGCCATATCCTTGGCTGCACTGCTCTGTGCAGGCCACGCTCGGGGGTGACTCTCCTCCAGGGGGGCTGCTGGTGAGGAGGGGTCGCGGGGGAGGCAAGACTGGGGCAACGGCACGTGTACCCACAGAGAGGGCTCCGAGTGCCGCCTCTGGCACCCGTGCAATAGGTTCGCCACCACTGACATAAAGAAAAGGGGATAGTAATGGCTTGTTTATACCTTGACTTAAAAAGTGTAAAACACAGTTAACTCAGATATCACTAAAAACTGAAAGCTAAAAAGTATGACAAAAGGATTTATGTTCACAGAACGCTGTAATGAATTGCCTAGTTTTCTCATAATTCACATTTTAAAAGTTTATAGAACAAAGACATAAGATTTTTGTATTCCAAAATAAAACTATTTTTTAAATAATGACATCCCTGAGACAATTTTATATCATAACATATGTATTCTACTGAAATGGTATCCTGTTACACACAGAATGAAACAAAAGTACATTTCAAAAGGTAACCATCATCAAATAACTTTCAGTGGATTACTATAGCAAAGATTTTACCAAAAGAAGGAATCTCTTTAGCTTTCTTATGAGGAAATTACACTAGTCAATATATATACATTTTTAAAAATAGCATGTGTATTTCGATGGATAAAAAATTAACTCACTTTTGAAATCATGGGATCATAATAAATACTGATTTCACTTCCTTGCTGTATGCCACTGTCAACACGAACCTAGAACAAATTCAGATAAATTAGTTTTATAATAAAGAGGAGGTTAAGGTTAGTTAGTAGTAGTAGGAGGAGGAGGAGGAGGAGGAGGAGGAGTAAGTATGGTCATTATTCTTTTCTTTGAAAGTTGCATTTATTACAATGGGCCATAAGACAAAGTTTTCCACAAATCTTATCTCTGTATTTTGATATTTAAGTCTTAAATCCTCCACTTGGGAATTCACCATTGCCGTAAAACATGTTTGTAATTATTGATTTTACCAGCATCTTTCACAAAAAGAATCTGTGTTCTGTGATTATATCATGTATTTGTTACTACACCCAGTATTTTACTACTCCAGAAGAATACTCAGACATACCAAAAAGAAACCTTAGAGCTGATAAGCTAGCCTCTTTTAATTCTCGGTTTTTAACTTTCACAAATGCAGCCATTTCCTTTTCTTTTTCACTCTCGTCTAAAACTTGGATTTCTCTCAAGTATGCAATTTTAGTGATGTTCAGAGAATTTTTTGCAAAGTTACAGTTTTAAACAGGTTTTTTTAAAGTCTCAGACTGGGTGGGAAAGATAAATGCATGGACGTATGAAGGCATGTGTGCATGAACACACACACATACAAGCCTCTGGTAACTACTGAATTATTTGAAGAATCTGCTAACTGTTAATTAACCAACAAAACTTAGTGTTATTAATTCATATAATTTTAATTTATTTACTTTTTATCAGGCTGCACGTTAAAAATAAACATTAACTATTAAATAACTAATTCTAGAATAAGTCCTTGATAGATTAGTTTTTGAAATTTGTAAAGCATGTTAACTGCAACACATACGCTTTTCTTTAAAAAAAAAAAAGCAAGAACATTTAATAGACTGATAATTTTGGGAAGAAAACTAAACCTCAATGGATGAAAGAGATATAACACAAAAATATTGCATTTGGATTTGGAGGGCTGAGGGAAACGAGCTTAGAAACTCCCTTCAATCTTCACCTGGGGAAAAGAATTTTTTGTAATAAAACAGCAGTTCATCTGTCTGCAACAAGGCAGAAAGAGGTCAACCCAACGGCTGTTAGGCTTTTAGATTTTAATTTAGGCAATTATCAAGGGACCAGATGTAGAACCTCTTGTCTACAATATCCACATGAGGTCACACTGATGACTTTATTATCCAAATGACATGTCCTAATAGGCTTTACTCTATGAAAACTGCATCACACTTTTTCATGATTAAAAAAAAGATGAATTGTGCCTTATAATTACACATTTACTAATGCAGGCTTCTTAATTCTAACAGCAACTGTCAAGCACCTTCTTTAGAAAACAAACAAGATGCCTTAGAAATGCCCAGTCATCAGAACAATGGTTTTAGCTATCCTCATTCCACAGGAGAAGAGAAAATGTACAAGCACAACTACTGAGGTTTGAAGGAAACTAACTTTCAAAATTCTGCATCACTTTCACCACAGAATATATATTTAAAAATTAGAATTTTAAGAACAAAACAAAGGGAAGGGAACAAAATAACTTTCTGATATAAATCTGAATATAAATCTCTCTTCAAAAAATTCTAAGCTAAAGAATTAAAAAGGAAGCCAGAGTAACCCAAAAAGAAGGGAATATATTTATTCACGAAACAAGATTTATTATGCAACAATGTGGCAGCAATCATTTAAATAAGTTATGCCTTTGATGTTCCAAACATGCACTATTACTTGCAAGCTAACGTAGCAGGGCTGTGGCGATTAAGAAATTGCAAATATTAAACTGCAAGGTAAATGAAAACTTTTAAAAGTTTTAAGTGAAAAAAAATGTTCATGATATCTGAATGTCTATGGAGATTCTTATTCATCCAGGTCATGGAAGCTTCTTGGATGAGAAATAAAACATTTTTGAAGAAAAAAAAAAAACAAGAAAGTCCAATTGCCTTTTGGAAAAAGCACCTTTAATGCCATTCAGTACATTACATTCTATTTAAGATTCCATACTGATCATATAAAATACTGTAACTTATTTATTGTAACAGATAGTAAAACGGTGCTGTTACACAGGTAAAAGAAGAATTTTATTTACTAAATGGTTCTATTTTTTCCAGAAACCCTTGTTAACTTTACGTTCTTCTTCTTAAGGGCTTCCTATGCTAATCTTTTTTTAAAAATAGGAAGTTGCTGATCTTATTAATGTTTCCTGAGACTAGTGATTATTTTGCTTAGCTGCAGAATATATGGAAATAAACTGACAGAGAATCAAAATTTAAAACAATTTAAAAGAAAATATATAGTCAATTTTCAATCTGATGGTATATAGTCTTGAGCAAACATGCTACATTTAATCCTAATTTCAGTAAAATAGTAAAACTCAGTGCCAGTAATTTTGTTATATTCTACATATGTTTTTATTCCTGTGATTGCCTTTAGTTAGTACATTTGTTTTTTGCAAAATACAATATTATTTATGCAAGTACACCAAAATATGTTATATAAATCAATACTAGGTTATTTAAAATGAAGTTTAACAGTAACAGCAGCTAGTTATTAACTTCAGGATTTTCAAGTCTCTGTCCATAGCATGAGAAAAACATAATTTTGTAGTTAATTCTGTTTAGGATCAAGCAAATTCTGAGACACTTTAAAGGCAAATATCATGTATAAACACATACCAGATATGGAAAAAGATAGGATTATAAGTAAACTGTTAAAAAGTGAATATTTTTGAATTTCAGTGGTCTTGACTACCAATCATTTTTGTTGTATTTATACGGCTTTTAGGGTTCTTAATATATTAACATCTTAAGTTGTGAAGGCAGAGAAAGCCTGTTTATTTTATTAGAATAATAAAAAATAATGTTTCCTATCAACATAAAGGTCAGCACTACTGTTTAGAATGAAAAATCTAGTCACCTTCTTTTTCTGAAGGCCAAGTATGAATCTATGCAATCGAATTGCCACAGGATCACAACACTGAGGTTAAGAATAAGTTCTCCATTTCATGCACAAGCATTAACCCCAAGAGCTCCTCAACCTGACCAATATCTACATGTGCGCATTTCAATTCTCAAAATGATCATGATAGCTGGAGAATTTGGAGAGCTGAATGACCATTAGCCTTGATGATATTCTGACTGTCTCGGAAGGCTTTCAACTTAGAGCCTACTAGGCTTTCTTGTGCATTTAGTTGCCCACTTTGAGAAGAGTTTGCTGGGCGACTAAATAGGCCAGAGATCTAATCCAGCAGAACACCACTTATGTTCTTAAATGAGCATAGCTGATAATTTCCTATAATGAGGAACACTGCTTTAAGTGTTTGCTGCCAGAGGTCTTAAAAATGATTCATATAAACAAGGATATATTTTGCTACTTTGTTTGTGGCAAGGCTGAGCCCATATGTAACTCTATTAAGCTTACATTAAATAAAAAAATCATTCCATAACCATTGCAAGCCTGGAGTCCTAATCACCAAATGCAACTGTACGTCTGTACTATTTTTATTTATTGTTTATTTATATCCTGCCATTGTTATTTTTATAAATGACTCAAAGTAGCAAACATACCTAATATCCCTTCCTCTCCTATCTTCTCCACAACAACCCGGTGAGTAGGTTGGGCTGAGACAAGTTGACTGGCTTCTAGCCTAATGCTTTAATCACTAGACCTCTCTGACTATACCTTTCTCTTTCGGCAAATAATTCTATTTTGGTCAATTTTGGAAATAAAAGAAATGATTAATCTTTATAAGGGAAATACTAAGAAATGTTTACTGTACTAATACCATAAATGTATAGGGTACATACCACTGGCAGAATATTCTCTTAATTTATAAGCCCTGCTGCTTATAAAAAGAAAAACAAAATAAACCAACACAATTTGCAAAAAAAAAAAAAAAAGTGCTATTTTAACACAGTGGTGAGAGCACACCAAAAGGGAAAGGCCCAGGCACTTTATATGAAATCCTCAAAAATCATTACTCTTAGGCGTCCAACATAATTAAAATTTCTTCCCTCGGTATCATGATGGAGCATGTGAATCTATCAGGCATCTCCCACCCTTCATTTTCAATTCACCTCTCCCCTAAGCACAGCTCCCAACCCACCATGTCTACCTGACAAGTGACAGCCCAATCTGATTAAATGCTTGCAAAGGAGGGGACTTGCAGGCCTCCATGACAGGCCAAAAGTGATCACCATGGAGATACATAATTACAGCTGTCAACGCATCTACTGTCCTGCTGGCATCAATTTGATTGCTCCCAGCAATAATGATAGACAAAGCTTAGCATGCACTCTCTTGCACCCAATCACTTTATCTATTTTGTGATCCATTTAGCTGACATGCAACATTCGCACAAGCAAATAACAGCAGTAAGCAGAACATTTAAGGTATTTTAATTGTTTTTTTCTTTCTCTGGATGCCTCATAAGTGTAAATGTTATTACATAAAACTCCTGCTGCAGCATTAATTGAAGAAAGATTTGGTGGGACAAAGACCATAGGAGGTAGAGTTTGTCCATTATCACTTGTACTTTCAACAGGTCTCATGTCCAGAATATTGCAAATTGCAAAAACTTGCAAGGGCAAAATATTTGACATCCTGTTAGCTATTACACCATAGTGAAAAACCTCAACCCACCCCCAGAGTAATTACTGGAAATTCTTTCTTAATTCATTTGGTTTTTATTAAATATTAAGACACATTTTGTAACATGTGTTTGTCTGTGCGTGTTTAAATCTGCCATTTAATATCATATAGAATTTAGCAAACCTTTACATATTATACTTCTGCTTTTAAACACAGCTTGAATTCTTAAAGTCCCCCCACAAAAAGTCAAACTTCTATAGGAAGCATACAGGCAAAAACAATTTTAGAAATCAAATAAATCCTAGATTCAGTTTCACCAAATTTAAATTTCAGGAATATAACATTTCCCCATTTTCCCCATGTAATTAATAATGGTAAATAATCGTATTTACAGTAGTATCCCCTTTGTCATTTCACAAAGCCAACACCATTTTATGCTTCTGCACCTAATATTTTGGCTACCCTGAAGAACAGAAATGCACTTGCCTTTTGTGTAACAACCAATTAAACAAGAATTCCTAAAAGAACTTTCTACAGTATAATAAAGCACTTTTCATTATGTATAGAAAATTGCCTTTCATCTTTGAAAAAGCTTCAAATCTAAAGAAAGGGGAGCATAACATTATAAAAGCCAGAATTATGTCATGGCTAGTCCAACACTTTAAAGAATGACTATGTAGAGTTTATTTAGATGTACGTCCCAATATATATGGCTTTTGGTGGTTTGTTTGTTTATGTTTGTTTGGGTACACTACAATTCATTTCTAATTACCACTAATTAATATAATTAATTATCTTCCTCATTGGTTTATAGAAATAGTTTAGGACAACTAGCCTTAAGGAGCCCTGAAGTCTTCCAAATCTACAAAATAATATGAAATCTATGGTTTCTTCATGCTTTGAAAATAAGAAATAATAAAACATCAGAATTACTTACATTTGGGACCTGCAGGGGCTCTTCGTACTGAGACAATCTACCAATAGAGGGCAGACCAAAAGATTTGTAAGGGTCCTGAAATGAAATTCAAAACACAGAGTGGTATTAACTTTGTAAGACAAAGCACAGAAGCAAGGTTAAGCCACTGGGAAACTAAGCATTTCCTCCACTTTAAATATGGACAAACTATATTTTGTTTTCAAAATGACTTATTTTAGTAGGGTTATGAAACTGCTTCTTCCATTCAAGTCATGGAAGATTTGTTAAAGCTAAAAACTCCCTGCTGTGCCTTTATTAAAGCAAGGACAATCTTTCTAAAAGAAAGCACAATAGCAGGGGCGCATATTCACCACATATTCACACACACACACACACACACACACACAGAGAGAGAGAGAGAGAGAGAGAGAGAGAGAGAGTAATACTCCGCAGACAAGTTTTTCTGGAATTGTACACAACACTCAGGGTTTTCAGGATCATACCCTGTATAAATTAATAACACTATTATATTTAAGGCATGCATCCCAGTTTAAATGCAATTTGTACTGTTTGACCCAAACATATGGATAAAATTTCCACATTACTGTATGTATTATTTATTCAAATTCTCAGACATGTAAATTGTATTTGACATGTAAATTGTATCAGAAGAAAAGAGGAAACAGAAAAAAATAACATGTTTTATCCAATATAAAGAGAACTAAACAAATTATCCTAACATTGACTGTAAAACAGAAATCAACTTTTGACTTCAAATCCCAATGGCACAATACATAAAAGTTAACTTGATCAATTCCAAATAAAAAGGGATGTTTTAAAAATACTATTATTGGTTATAATATTTAGCCATATAGTTTATTATAGGTATATAGTCTATAATATCTATTGGAAATGTACAGCAACGACATTTTCTTTTCAGAACAATTTTTTTAAAAAAGGGCTCAGTACATTGCCTTTGCTTTCATAAATAAGTAATGTTGTATGAAATGTTGAAATACCACTATAATCTTTTTTTCCAATATGTTATGTAGCTGCCTCTGATCTAAATAATTTTATAAAACGAATGAAAAAGAAAAGCCATTCATGCACATAGAATGGAACAAGACAAAAAGAAATCTTAGCTTCTCCCAATACCTAACAAGTTTCTTCTACAGCAATTCTCCTTCCAGCTATTAACAGTTATTTTTTACCTCCGCATACACTCGACATTCAACTGCCCAGCCGTTGATGGGGATATCAGCCTGCTTGTGCCTGAGAGGGTATCCCTTAGCAACACGGATCATTTCTTGGACTAGATCCAAACCGGTAATGCATTCTGTGATGGGATGTTCAACCTGCAAGGTTAAGAACTGTCAGTCAGTCAATCAGTAACAACACAACTAAACTTTCTAATATCTCAACCTAAAAACAAAATTTGGTTGGGGGGTGGATATGTTAATTTACAATACGTAATATGGATGATCTCTTTGTCACACAAGATGTACAGAAATTATATGTCTAATATTTATTGCAGAAAATAGATACACAACAAAATCAAGCAACTGCAGGTAATGGCTAAAATAAGATTGGATAGTTGGACAGATAAGAATACATTTGTTTGGGGGAAATGACTTTTAAAAAGAGAACAACTTTTAATCTAGAAATACAAAAGCATTTTGACTGAATTTCAAAAAGCTGGCTGATAATCAGCCCGTTCTGCTACACTTAACATGGCATGTACAGGAGCAGTCTACAATCTTCCATAGAATCAGACTAGCTAAGTCTTACCCACACGCCTGCTTTCACTAACCTGTCCTGACAAGCAATGAGATTAGCGTAATCTTACATCAATGCAGTGTAGCAGAAATGAGCAGATGGATACTTCAGGGTTGTTGTTTTTTTCCATACAGACTTATCTCTGTAGTGCTTAGCATGCATAATAGCAGAGCTGGACCAGTAGAATCACTGCATGCTCTCAACAAATAGCTGCTAACAACTCAGGATCATGCTGTCATGGGAATACCCTCACTCCCAGTTAAACCAAAAAGGAGAAGTGGTGCAAGAGTTTCTCTGACTAGTAAAACAGATTTATATAATGCATATTTAACTTCGCAAATGTGGCTTGAAATAAGGATAAAATATGTACATTTAAAGAGCAAGTTAGCGTAATAAGTGCTCATCCATAATGTTACTGTGCACCCTAACGGAGGGAGGGAGGGAGGATTGATTTAATCATTTTGTTTTATTGTAAAGTGCTATTGCAGCTGAAATACTTTGTCTTTGAAATACTGTCTTAAGAAACACTATTTCACAAATATTTCTCCATTAAGAGTTGTCATACTTCATGTATTTGTGACACAAAAAAGGTCACTGAACAAATGAAGTATTTGTTTGAAGTACATAATTGAAGGATAACATTTTGTCGGATGTAATATCTCTATAATGGTCTTTGCCAAAAAAAAGGAGTAAAATTAACAGATGGCACTTATAATTAGCTCTCTGTGCATTTAAAATTTTACACCACCATATTTTAAGATAACTTAGCTGTTTCAGTGACATCACTGAAATAAGCACCATTCTAAATATTATACTAAAATGAAGGTTTTATTATATGATTAAGATGCTTCCTTTAGGACTCACTGTCAAATACTTTATACTTTCCAGGTATATCAATCTTATTAAGACTCTTGATGAAATGCCAAGAAAGTTCTTCATCTATACTGAACTTCTACCCCATCAAATATGTAAATTATCAATACATTTGGGGGAACATATTTATTTTCTCAGTGAATCTGATTTTTTTTTATTTTTTATTTTAAGATAACTATACTGAAACTTTTTTCAATATATTTGAAACTTTGAAATCATTCTAACTGAGTTATTTCATTGTATTTTTTTAAACTGAGTTTTCATTCTAATATGAAATATAGTAACCTCACCATAATTAACATAGGGTTTCATTTTTTATGGTCAAGCTAGGTAGAAACTCATTCTGAAAGCAAAATATTTCTGCAGCTTTAATATTTATCAACATTTATACAATTAAACACTGTCTTTAAAAATATTATTGTCTGTTCCATCAATACAGTTTCTTTGTAAAAAAAAGTAGTTATAAAAGGGGGGGAGCAAAGTATAAGCAAAAAACAGTTGGATATTTCAATCATATAATCATTTGATTGAAACAATAGTTAATTGTCTTTTTATACTATGTTTATTTTCATACTAAGAACAGCATACACACAGTCATTGTTATTTTAACAGTGAATTTATTAATTTTTTGCATTTTTATTTTTCTATTTCCAGCAGCCATTTTCCATCAAATTGATAACCATCTTCCAAGAGTTAGGCTCCACCAGATTGTCTCTTTCTCAGCTGTCATGCAACAGCTAATCTACCACGGTACAGTAAGGAGAGAAATAAGAACTAAAGCCCCTCTATTAGGTCAGGGAAAAGATTAGCAATTTTTTCTTCCTCTATTCTTTCTAGCTAGTTTGATTTCTAGCAATCAAGCAATGACTGGTTTAAAACATGCTTACCATCTTTTGTACATTGTACTAAGTTATATGTCTGACATGAGAAAAAAAATTCTGGTTTAAATCTACTGCAAATATTCAGTTTTAACTCTGAACAGAAACACAAAGGAGTAATTGTTCAAATCTGTCTCAAAATATACTTGAATAAACCATAAAAGTGAAATGCTAACTGCAAAGGGACGTGCTGATTGAAGTTAATATAACTTAATATATATCTATCATATTAAAGTATATGCCAACACCAAAAGCAATGCTTTTGCCACTAGAATTTCTTCTTTAACTACATTCATGTTAGAAAAGTATTTTTCCTTTTTGCAATTCTCTTTGTAGCTTTTTTCAGTAGAAAGGACATTTCCTTATACTTTTGTCAGAATCTTTCCTCCTCTAAGGGAAATCCTGTCCTTTGTAATATTTGGGTGGAAGGGTGTAACTGTATTACACACTAAATAATCAACCCACTCTTCTCCAAGTGTTGTGTGACGTACCCATTTCAAATCAAAATTACCTCAGAGCCCATCCAGTTTCAGTAATTTTTAAGTATATAAACATGTAACATTGTCCCTAAGAGAATCAGAGATACATAATTATCTTACAAAGAAAAAGACCACAATTTAAAGAAAACATTCGCCAAAGAGAGAGAAATTTGCCAAAACAGACTTTTTCTTGGAAGTTTATCTGCCAAAAACGCTTCAGCTAAAGATATATGTCCATCACATTATTCAAGGTGCTGAGATGATCATATTTGTTAAAGCTTACATATCAAGTGTCAGCCCTTTGAGATACACCAGGTCAAGAAACAGGCACCACAAGACATACAAAAAATCTACTTTATTGATCCAGGCCATAACAACAAAATCTTTAAAGCCTGACAATGTTGTTTCTTCCCTCTTTCTTAAATCAAAGAAAATCAAGGGAGAATACTCTTGAGTTCCTTTCTCACATCTTCCCCTTTTCTTGTTGAAGTCTTCCCAATAGTTATTGCTTATTTTCTTCAAGTCCATTTGTATATTTATTTATTTATTTTATTTATTTATTTTCAAATATTTATATGCCGCCCAATCCCAAAGGACTCAGGGCGGCGTACAAAGTTAAAACAATCATAAAACAATAAAATAATACAGTCATACCGCAAGTCCGATCATATCCCGGCCCCCCGGGGACATCAGCCCCAGGCCTGCCGGAACAGGAGAGTTTTAACGGCTTTCTTAAAGGCCGGCAGGGTGGGAGTAGTTCGAACCTCGGGGGGAAGTTGATTCCACCAGGTCGGAGCCACCACAGAAAAGGCCCTTCCCCAAGGGCCCGCCAGCCGACATTGTCTGGCCGACGGGACCTGAAGGAGGTCCAATCTATGGGACCTCACCAGTCTCTGGGAGCTGTGCGGCAGAATGCGGTCCTGTAAGTAACCTGGCCCTATGCCATGAAGGGCTTTGAAGGTGATAACCAACACCTTGAATTGCGTCCGGAGACCCACAGGAAGCTAGTGCAGCGTTCTGAACCAACTGCAGCCTCCGAACGCCCTTCAAGGGTAGCCCCATGTAGAGCGCGTTACAGTAATCCAGTCTTGAGGTGACAAGGACATGAGTGACTGTAGGTAAAGCCTCCCGGTCCAAATAAGGCCGCAACTGGTGCACTAGGCGAACCTGTGCAAAGGTCCCCCTGGCCACAGACGATAGATGATGTTCCAGATTTAGCTGTGAGTCCAGGAGGACACCCAAGTTGCGTGCCTGCACTGAGGGAGGTAAATTTGCCCCGCCCAGGACTAAAGATGGACCATCCAGTTGGCCTTTGGGAGGCAAGACCCAGAGCCACTCGGTCTTGTCAGGGTTGAGTCTAAGCCTGTTCACCCCCATCCAGACCCTCACATCTTCCAGGCACCGGCACATCACGTCGACTGCTTCACTGAAAGGACACGGGGTGGAGATATATAAATGGGTATCATCCGCGTACTGATGATACCTCACCCCATGTCGCCGAATGATCTCACCCAGCGGTTTCATGTAGATGTTAAAAGGAGGGGGGACAGGACCGAGCCCTGAGGCACCCCATGATCGAGGCGCCTAGGGGTCGATCTCTGTCCGCCCGCCAACACCACCTGCGACCTGTCAGAGAGGTAGGAGGAGAACCACCGCAATACGGTGCCGCCCACCCCCACCTCTCCGAGACGACGCAGAAGGATACCATGGTCGATGGTCTCGAAAGCTGCTGAGAGGTCAAGAAGCACCAGGATAGAGGAATAACCCCTATCCCGGGCTCGCCAGAGGTCATCGGTCAGTGCGACCAAAGCAGTCTCAGTGCTGTAGCTGGGCCTGAAACCAGATTGAAAAGGGTCCAGATAATTGGTTTCATCCAAGGATCGCAAGAGTTGAGACGCCACCACCTTCTCTACAACCTTCCCCACAAAGGGGAGGTTGGAGATGGGACGAAAGTTTTTCAAAACAGCTGGGTCCAGGGAAGGCTTCTTGAGGAGGGGCCTCACCACCGCTTCCTTTAAAGCTTGCGGGAAAGACCCCTCCATCAAGGAGGCATTGATTATCGCCTGGAGCCTCCATATCAACAGAATACAAAACTGCTTGTGGCATCTTAAATTTTTTTTTCCACCTATAAAACCCCTGTGCTTACATTTTTCTCTTTACCATCTTTCGGTTTGATAAAAAACAATTTCCTTAGTGACCCATTTCCACACCCAAGCAGGCTAATCATGGGCTCAATTCTCACATTTCTAGCCAGTCTTAGGCAAATGTAGATAATCATTACCTTTATGAATCACTTTTCTAACTGTTAAAAAGTGCTTGAATAGTTTCATTCTTTATATTTGTGTCAAT